GACGGGGTCTTAGTGAATTTTTCTTTGTCTCACTCATTTTTTTTCAGGTCCTGTCTTTTCTGGTCCTTTGTCTTGTTACCGGTCTCTGTGTGTGTGTGTCAAACCTCGGAACACTCCAGAAACACAGTTGAGCTAGCCTAGCGCGTACGTCTCCTCGTGTTTCACTCAGGATCAAAGACGACACTTTTTTTTTCCGTGACGTGGAATTTACCAACGCTTTTCGCTTTTTTAGCCGTCGTACGGAACCCGTGCCCGGATCCGAAACCCGTGATCCGACATCCAATACTACGATAGAACGTGTCGTAGATAGATGTAGTCTTTCTGCTCGTTTTGGACTCGGACTTTCAACGCCGGTCTGGACGGGAAAATGTAAGAATCTTCTCACTTTATTGACACCCAGTGGTTGAAGCAATCGGGGCTCGTAATTGGTCGAGAGTTGCTAGTGCTAATCCTTAAATGTCAGGCATGATGAGGGACAAAATACTTTTCAAAATATTTGTGGTGAAGGGGCAAAAACAACAGTCCAGGTGTTGACCTCACCCTTGCCAGCAGAGGTCAGGGTTTTCCCGCAGCACTTGCTGTGACCCTGAGAATAATGAAGCCAAAGGAATGAAGTGAGGAGTTCCTTATTTTTCCATCTCGTCCAAGCGTCTGTGGACGCGTCTGTGGCGCCCCATCTCTTGCACACATAATCAGATGAACACGCCTTTGAGGACATCATGTTGGCATTGTACACGCACACACACACTTCTCGCCCCGTTTACATCGTCACTTTGTATTGGACGTTTTTTGTGGCTTTTTAAAAAATCCGAATCCTCTGCTGTACAGAAATTAAACTTTTTTTTCTTATTTGCTCACTTTTCCGCACAGCCACCCTCTAGTGGAGTGGGAAGGGAGCACATGCACTCAGCCTGACTTGCCGTTTTTGCACAATTCGAAATCATGTCATGCTGTTTTTTTTTTTTGTCACCAAATGTTAAAAAAAAAGAAATGTCACCCCCGCTGGCGAAGATGCAGCACTGCGTCATTTTCTTACAGTTTTTATTTTCATGTATGATCTTTTTGTCGATCCTTTTCATCTGTATTTGGACAAGACTTCATAAAATATGGTAGTTAAAAACTGTGCACATATATATAGCCAGCAGAGGATGCTGTAAGCACAACAAAACTTAAGAGCCTGTTTCCCCTTGTTGGTAAATGTCGTAAACTTTCAAAGTTTTAAAAAATATATATTTTAGACGTATTTTAGTGATCTTGCCTGTAGTGACCTCGACTGTCCTGCAGGGTGGACGACCAACAAAGTGTCCCAGATGTTTAAATATTTTTGCTTCGGGAGAATAACCTGAATTATTCCAGTGGC